AATTAACTATTAAAAAACAAACCGATAACTACCTCTGATCGATATCGATAAATTAAAATTACTTCTTAGTGAGTTTATCTTTGTTTATTTGTATTGGAAAAGTAAATTATTTTCTTAATAAAAAACTAAATTCCCTCGATAACGATAACTTGCCCTGAATATATCGATAAAATAAAAGGCAACGAAAAATTGATTGAGCTAATTTTAATGAAGAATTACTGCGTTTCTTGTTATTCCGCATAATTGTAAACTATGTGGTGTTGCATTGCAGTTTATTTCTCGGTCACCTTCAAATGCTATCGGCTAATTGGGTTAATTGGGCCACAGATAGATACGCTTATCGAAAGATTCACTCCATCAGTCTACAGTCCAGTCCCTTTTTTTTCTAGGAATCGATTTATCGTCACTAGACTTGGGGCTTAGTCGTGGTTATAAATCCCTCTAACGACTTCCTTTTGTTCAGTGTAAAAAGTGCATCGAGTTTGGCAAATATTTACCAAATATTGTTGTTAACCAAACTGAGTCACGGCCAGCTGACACGAGTTACCAGATACAGACTTTTACGGGGGAAGTTGGAGAAGGGAAGGCATTGGCATCCAAGCTCTTCTTCGCCTTTCGACAAGGCAAACAACGCGGGCACACGATAATTGAGGCTCATTATCAGTGGGCAAATACGAGGTACGAGTCAATCCAAAATCCCTTTAAGTGATCATCATCAGAGGAGGGGCGATGCCTCCCAGACATGTCGACGACTCCAAAGCCCCGACATAGCGGAAATCCAAATGTAGAGGAGGAGCTCTCGGCTTTCGGCTCTCGGCTTTGAGCTATCTTGGGCTTGGGACTTGTGCTTGTTGCTTGGTCGGTCTTTTGGGCATGGTACTTCCCGTGTGTGCGGTCCGAACCTTTTGATTGCCACTCTGCAATTATGCCAGGTACTTGTCTCATTGCCCCTACTCCATCTCCCCCGGACTTCTCTAGCCTCTCCTCCGGAAAAACATGTACATGTGATGTGTGTGCCGTGCTTTTGTAATGACTTTTTAATGGTCGACAGTCAGTACTTTTGCCACCAAATTGGCCAGGCCAAGAGTTGGGGTAATCAATACACAAAGCCGGCTCTACGTATCTTATCGCACATAGCGAGGTGAGGCCTTCAACTTACAAGAGAGCGAGACAGGAGTGGGAGTGTGTGGAACCGGAAGCATTAGAAGCCCACAGAAAACAAAGCACAACAAAAAAAAAAAACAAAAAACATCAAAGACCAAACACACAGTTTTGTAAGTTAAGTTAAGAGTTAAGTCGCCGAAGGTCGTGCTAGTTTGTAGGGCCCATAGGCCTAAGCCCCCGCACACACACACATACACACTTCCAGCCACGCCCCGGTCCACCACAATCCGTGCGATCCATGATTATGGAGACCATAAATCAGCCGGAGATGATTCCCAAAGGGCGGAAGGCCAGCTGCGAAAAAAAGCTCCATAGAGAATTGGTGGAAACTTTAGGCCTCAAAATGTCAACATTCCAAGATAGGGCTATCCCAGGGGTTTTGCCTTTTACAATTTAGAAAAACATCCGGATTAATCGGTTGTTCATTTAAATAATGTATAATTTTGGGTTATAGATCTTATTTTGAGGTCAGAGGTTTTAGTTATAAAACACTTACTCCCATCCGCTGCTAATGCTTTGTATTACGAAGAAAGCACTTGAGAATTATAAGATATATTTTTTAAAATAATTAATATATATCAAAATATGATTATATTACCATAAATTTCTATAAAAGTGCTGTTTTAAGCTACTTCTTAATAAATCTTAGTGAAGTTTAGGTTTCGGTTTTACTTCACATCAGAAATTTGTTCCTGTTATTCACAGAATAATCACTTGAGAATTGAGAGAAATTTTATATATCAAACATTCTTGCAAATAACCTTCTCAAGCATCTGAAACCCTCTTTTTTATAATTATTAAAAATTCATTTAAAAAGCTTTTCGATCTTGACACTGCCTTTGGTTAACCTTTTTGGCATCTTTGGCACCGTTTTAGTTGTATCTTTGGCACTATTCCTACACGGATGCTATCGCCTGGCGCCAATCGGAAATAAGTAAATAAAAAATAGTAGAAAATAAGGTGCATTACGAATTAGACTTTACCCAGTGGCTAATTAAGCGATTATTTCTGTTCTGGCATTGGCACTCAAGTGTGATTTATGTCAGTGAGTAGAATGAACAAGTCCCCAAGTCCCACGCAACACGAATCCATTTCGATTCGATTTGAGACTTCGTCTTCGTCGGCGTCTTCCGCTAACTGCTGCTGGCTGTGTGCACAGAGGTCAAATTCTAAATTCTAATTGACAAAAGAGAACGCGACGGTGGCGGTGGCGGTGGCAGCGGCACAGTGGGTCAAAACGAGCCACTCTGGCACACTGCCAGTTCGCTTCATTCACTTTTGTTGAGCGATTCCGCCTAGATTAATGAAATTAGACAATCAAGAAGGCAAGTCTCAAGTGGCAGCAGCGGCAAAAAGCGAAATTAAAATCACTTAATTAAATAATTTTTAATGTCGCTCCACAACCCGCTGTTCTCTCTGCCGAAATTGAAATTGAAATTGGTAGTTTTTTTTTTTTTTTTTTTTGCTGTTTCGGTGGAGCAGCTGCCGTTGCTTAATTACCAACGAAATGGTCATTAAAGCAACGTAAATTGCCCTCTATATATCTCTATCTTAGAACCTCGATTGCAGCCAGTCAAGGTCAGGTCGCAGTCGCAGTTTCAGTCTCAGTCTCAGTCCCATCTCCATTTCCATTTCCAATCACATTTCCATTTGATGTTCAATATTACGACGAATGGAGGAATTGAATATTACCGCTGCTGATGAGGCCATAAAGCCCATACATCCCACCTCCTGCCCTGATGAGCTGATGGATCTCGCACCCAGCTGAGGCAATTACGCGCAAATTAACAGCGGGTTGGAGAGAGAGTCGAAGCCAAACGTGTTTCGGAGCTTGTTCCATATGGGAATCGAAACAAAAACAAAAAACGCAGCTATTTTTACCTTATAAATAATATATTCTTTCCCCCAAAAACCCATTTAAAACAGATTCTGGTTAAACAGGATTTTTTTTTTCGCTACAAACTTCCTTTCATTTCGGGCTTAATTCTAATTTACTTCGATTTATTTTGTTTAAAAATGCATTCTTTAAATGCTGATACTATTCTTGTTTACTTGATTAATATTTTTATTAATTTACTTGTTTGTAAATTAGTTTTTTTTATTGAAATATGGACGACTTACCTTTTCATTCCACTTGAAATATATATTTTCTTGACATTTTCCTTGCTTATGTTATTTAATTATCTGTAATTAAAAATAATACATTAATTAATGCCACCTTTCCTTTATAAAATTATTAACTTTTACCTCCTTGAATATTAATGAAGTTAAAAGTATGCCCTTGTTAAACGATCTGCATTCCCAAAACAAAAACAAAAAACTCAATTTAAACTCTACTCTTCCCAATTTTTGGGCTTTCAACAACATTTCAATTCAGATTGAAGCATTTTTGGCCAGAAACTACTGGCCCAGGGGCAACAAAATTGCTGTTAATTGCACCTAATTGGGGTTTTTGCACATTTCAATGCGAATTCAACGCGAAAATTCGCACAAAATAACAAAAAGCAAGACCCGAAACGGCGAAACACCGTTGCCAGGTAGCCAAATCCACCTTTCCACTCCTCTCTCTCCCTCGCCGAAATTAATGACATTAAAGAGTGCAAACAAACAGAAGATGCAATTTTCGGTGCAAATAAAAGCACACACGAAAAAAAAAATCGATGCAAATGAAGTAGCGGTTCCGCTGGCGATTTGCGAAGACCAAAGCAAACAAAGGAGGAGGCGCGAGCTCTCTAAAAGAGCGTTCTTCTCTGCCAAATAAACACCAAATTCCCCGTTTGCCACGGCGCTGGCTGGGATTTAAGCCAAATTAATGGACAGCGGGCTTAGTTGACTTCGTCGCTACATTGGGTTGAATATTCAAAAGGGTAGATGGGTTTTCATTCAACTAAAAAATATTGTAATAAATCGATTTATTTATCGATTTTTATTAGCAGATTATTCAGATTTGTACTATATAAATATATATCGATAGGAAAACTCTGCATTCGTAAAAAAATCTTAATTTAAAATATCGTTAGAATATCAATGCTATTGAAACAGCACATATATTTTTAAAAATAGCGAAAGAAAGCACTCAATATCAAAAATCAAAAATATCGAAAACCGAATTTTAATTATCGAAAAATATTGCGTTTAAACTAGAACCAAAATTTGTAACCATGCAAAGCAAAACAAGCTCAGGCAAAGTTCAAAAAGAATATTGATGCAATATACTAAAAAATATATTGATTTATTAATATATATATATATCGATAAATACCAATATAGTATTCCTATAAATTTCTCGCATTACAGAGTAGATTTCAGGTCTGTAAAGTCGGAGTCCCACAACAAAATAACGCTTTGTTGTTGTTCTTGTTTTTTTTTTTTTTTTAATGTGTTTCTTGGGTTGGTTTGGCTTGGTTTGATTTGGCTTTGGGCTTATACGAATATCCACACACTCGCTTTATTTATATTTGTGTTTGCCTAAAAAATTGGCGCTACCTACGCGAGTTTTGTTTTTAGCGTCGCTTCGTTTCTTCTTTTGTATTCGCGATGATTCATAACATAATATGCGGTCGTCGTCGCCATACACACTCGCCTAATCAATAACCATCCATCGTCTTTACACACAGTAAACACACATAATAGATGGCCGTAAGCCGCAATTATTGATGGGCCCGGTCCCCCGATCCACTCTGAACCCAGTTTCGGTTTCAGCTCGCTTTCAGTAACCCCAACCTCCGCATCTCTCCATCTCCATCTCCATCCCATGCAATCCACATCGTGTTTGTACATTAGACGCTAATCAATGCTAACAGTTGGAATTCTCCCTTCTCTCGTCCCGTGTCCAGGTCCAGCAACAGCAGCAGCTTAGCTCGGAACCGGCGACTTGTGCAATTAATGGGTAAGTCAAAGTGCGAGGCTAGCATCGCAAAGAGAGAGGGTCTGACCCTTACAACCTTTTATGAAACTATAAAATCCAATCGGAATGATATGGAGTTTAGTGTTTAACTAAAGCTTTTTTTAATTAAATTGAAGGATCTGAACGTTTCAACCTTTTTAAAACTATAAAATCAAATATTATTACATTAATTTATATAATATTATATTGTATACATTTTATTATAGTCTCAAGCTCTTTTTCAAACTTCTTTTAATTCAATGGAACAGTAAACTATCTTTTGAAAATTTTATAAAAGTCTTTAACAGTGTGCCAGGAAATAAGACCTTCAATCACATATTTTTCAGTAATTTGTAAAGCTTTCCATGTGGTAATAGAAGCCTAATTCAACTTTGGGATTGATGATATCAAGTTAAAGGGGTTTATTAAGGCTCCATATCTATTTTTTTATATTGAAATGTAATTTTAATCATTTAAAATCTTTATTTAATAATACAAATTTAATAAAATATTAAATTCCTTGCTTAATCCCTTTCTCTGTCTCTCCAATTTTAAACTCTATGTGTGGCACCCCTTCCTATTTCCATTTCTGCTGCTGTTTATGCTAACTTGCAGGCGTCCCAATTTGTGTTTTTCTTGTCTTTTTCTTTGCCTTTTTTTTTTGGGACGTAAACAATCCATTAAATGGTGGCACTGTGCCTAAATATAGTGTACACAGCTTCCTGTGGGGAGAAACAAGCAAGAATATTACGCATACGCACTGGGGGCACACAGTCACGCACAAAAGTCAAGCGAAATCAATCAAAGACAAGGAATTTTCAGCACGCAATCAATTCATAAACTCACAAGGTAAAGGAGGGGTGAGGTACAAAGAGAAAAGGACTCGGAAAATAATTTGTTGTTGCATCTTTTGGAGGAAGAGAGAGAAAAAGAGGTTTGAGGTCCTCGAGACAATTGGGCGCCAGTTGGTAATGTGTTTTCCCTTGCTTTTCTTTTTTCATTTGTGTTTTTTTTTTGGTGCGTGCGTGGCAAACTTGTTGGCGAATCAATCAAAAACAAAAAGAAGAGAAGAAAAGAAAAAGACGAGAATCTGCCACCATTTACTGTCGAGTTACGCGCAATTTAACCTGTCTGCCACTTGGCCACACTCTCTTTTTAGCCTGGCTGAAAGCCCTACTGCCTGCCTTTGCCTTTTCTGCTCACTCAATTATCATAATTGCGCTGTAAGCGGGTGGGAGGTTGAAATGATAATGTCGGCGCCAGCATTTCCGCTCTTATTAACGACTTCTCCTGCTCTCTCCCTGCTTTTGGCCAGTCCTTGGACCTTGGTTAAAACACACCCAGCGAGGGTACAAACGGACATGTGTCCATGTTGCGGCTTTTGTGGCTGCCTGACACGCACAATTAAGCCAAAGTTAGTCCAAGGATACGGGCCTCGAAGGCGGCTGGTCTCAAAATCAAATCAAATAAAATCAGAATTTACTACATTCACGCACGCAGGCTATCTTTTTTCGATATAAAGAGAGAGAGAGAGAGAGAGAGAGGGGAGAAAAAAATGAAACAAATACATTTTTCTATTTATTTCTATTTTTTTTTTTTTTGTTTTTGTTTCAAACTATTTTCGATGCCATTTAACATTTCCATTTCGCCTCGTTTCCGTTGCGCCTTAATGCACTTGACCTTCAGCCAGATCGCTATTCAAATTCGAGTCCGTATCTGAATCTGAATCGGTATCCAAAACAAAAAATACAACAAAAAGTATATAAAAAAAAATAGAACAAAATAAAAACCCCTGCAAACTCAAGCGAGACAGCATTTGGTTGCAATATGTTTCGGTTGCCACACTTTAAGTGGCAACTAGAATAGGTTTTTTTTGTTAGGTTTTTTGTCTAAATATTATTTATGGTTTTATGGAGAAGAGTTTCTGCTTCAAGTAATCAATTTATATATTTTTTTATTTATTTTTATTTTTTAAAAGCTGTAAAATTTCGGAAGATGTTGTGCCACATTTGAAAATTTAATTTTATAAATTAAAGTTTTTAATATTTTTAAATAAAGAGTTATTAGTTAATTCTTTTCCTTTCCTGAATAATTAAATTTTTTTCTAATTTCCAATTTTTGTTTTGTTTTTTTTTTATTCAATTTAATTTTATTTCAATTTTCTTTTAATTTTAAATTGTTTTTAATTCAATTTCGATTTTTAATTTTTTTTTTATTTTTGATTTAATTTAAATTATTCTTTCAATTTTAATTTTAATTTTCTTTAAATTTATCTTTCAATTTTTTGTTTTGTTATTTTTAATTTAAATTTTCTTTAAATTTTAATTTCAATGCTTTCTTTCAATTTCAAATTCGTCCTTGTTTTGAGCTTCCGCGGATGTAATTTCAACTCAATTTGGTTCCTACTTGGTCTTCTGCCTCTACTATATCCGCCCCTATATCCGGACAACGAGATCCCTACAAACGACAAAGGACACGCAGTGTCCTCGCTATTGTTGCCCTGCCATTGTAAAGTTTGAGTGTAAATTCCATTAGGATTATATTACCAGAACTGGCTCGAACACACACACTCGTATATGAGGAAGCCACAAAAGTTTCGACCCGGCCATAAAGTAGGAGAATTCGCTTTTATTATCCTTGGAGAGAGCGAGGGAGAGCGCAGCGAGTTGGCAACAGGACGAGGCAAAGAGGAGGGCTCTCAAATGGATTAGGGCCAGGCTCTCCTCGCAAAGAAGAAGCCCCGCAAGGCGTTGCCTCGCACATTTAAGGACCTTCTCATGTGTGTGTGTGTGGAGTGAAATGTGCGTGCTGAGCAAATGCCAGGATATGTGTCAAGGACATGCCAAGACACATATGTGTGTGTGTGTGTGGGTTCCTGTTGAAGTGTGGCATGTGGGTGCAATGGGCGTGGTCCTTTCTATACATTTGGGACACATTTGTCGTCCGCTAATTGATGTTGCCTCCCAGTCCTTGTCACCTTCCCACTCACACACAAACTCTATCTCTTTCTATCTCACCTCTTATCATTTCCAACTCCCTTCTTTGGGCTTTTTTTTCGGCACTCCCCAGGAGCATATACATATATATATATATATATCTTTGGACCCCGCCTTGAAATACTAAGTTGGCAAATCGGCAAATTTATTTTAATTAAAACTCAAAGAGAGGCCAAAGTCCAGATAAAATAAACATCCTAGCCTGAAAACTGAATGTTTATTTTAAATTTAATTTCGGCATAAAAGTGTGTAATACAACAAAAAGAAACTCAGAACAAAAGTAAACACAATATGGCTTTTAATTAAACAATATATATTCACTTTCAATTCAAATTTGTTGTTTCGATTTTAAATAACGATTTACGATTGTTGAATTTTTATTTAGCAATTTCTTGAGCAATTACAGTTAGTATTGTTTTTATAAATTTTTTTTTAAACTGGATTTTACAGAAGAAATATAAGTAACAAAGAACGAAGATTTGCTTTGTTTAGTTCCTTTTTTTAAATAAAGACGAATTCAACTTGTTTTGCTGGTCAAATTTTCATAACAACCAAGACAAATTTGCCCCAGATCTCTCACGTCGAAAAATTTCACACGTGAGCACTTATAATTCCCAACTGGTTCTAGCATCTAGGTAAGGACAGTGGTCAGCACATGTTACATTACATAGTTACCCTAAAAGTAACTCAAATTTTTTTTATTCAAGATAAATTTCTGTTAAATTTGGAAGAGTTACTCCTAAAACTAAGAAAATCCTTGCAAACTTAAGAAAATTTCAAGAAAACTCAGCAAAACTTCTCATATAGACCTTATTAATACCTACTTTTTTAGCAGTGTCTGAGATCCCTATGAACTGCAAACGATCTTATGATTTCCCCGAAAAAAAGTGAATACTTTACAGCCAGCTGTCAGCTGCCTTTGGCTTCTGGCATTGTCCAGCACGAACAAGTGTACAAGAGTATCAGGGCCCCCCTTTGCAGAGACGCCTCTGCTTTGTTGTATTCTTCTTTTTTCTTTTTTTTTTTTTTTTGTGTTACAGCCAACACAGAAAATTCAGAAATCCATTAGATCTACTTTGTATCTGTGTTGGCTGTGTGTGCTTGTGTGAGAGTGTTTCCATTTTGGCCCGTTCTCGATTCTCGTTCGCAATAAATAAACATAATAAACATTTTTAATGCGAATTCCTTCATAAAAATCACCAAGCTGATGATGATCACAATGATGATTATGATGATGTGCTGGCCACAAAGAGATCTCAGAGATCGCTAGACAGCTGTCGCATGGCGAGCAGCAGCAGCAGCAGCAGCAGCAGATACAAAATGTATCTTTCGCCAGCAACGAGAACAACGAGGTGCGAAAAGTGTTCTAAATGGCTTTGGACGGAAAGCCATCCGAAAAAAGCCAAAAGCAAACAAAAGTAAAAACCCCAAGCTCCACAGCTCTTTTTGATAAAATTCCACAAACACAACAAAAAAAAAAAAAAGAAAAACAAAAATAACCAGAATTATTTCAGCATTACCAACTATATGTGAGGTGGAGTACAGTTTACATCCCAGTACGCCCACACCACCGACGGTTAATGGCAGCTAAGATAAGTGCCGATTTCAAAAGTTTATACCAAATGAACTAATAAAAAAGCTATACCAGAGTAGATAAAAAAGTTTAAAAACAACGAAGTATAATTTTCACAATTCCGATCGTTCCTATGGCAGCATATGATAAGTCGTCCGATTTTCATAAAATTTTACCAAAATTCAGAAATAATATAAAATGGTCATATCTAAAAAATAGTGCACATATGTTGAAAAACAGCTAAGTTATAATTTTTTCAAAATTATCGAACATTGTATGGCAGCTATATGATATAGTCGTCCGATCCGGCCCGTTCCGACATATATACAGGAGAGCATATAGAAGACTATAGCAAAGTTTCATTAAGATAGCTTAAAACGAGGGACTAGTTTGCGTAGAAAAGACAGACAGACAGACGGACAGACGGACAGACA